ACTGTCCTTTCTACAGACAGAATGTTTCACTAGGTGTGTATGTGATCAGCAAGCACCGTTGCTTCATCCAAAATGTTACCACATCCTAGCAGAATAAAAGAAGAACTGCTCAGTAAACAAACAGGTCTCAATTTCCAAATCAGGGCAATAGATCTAAGCATTTCTAAATCTTTCTGTAGATTTTCTCTATAAACCTGTGGTTTCCTACATAGGTGTAGCTAGTACTTTTCTGATTATTTTTATCTGTAATATTTGCTGTTGATCATAGGCTGGCAGACATAAAGTTACATTATGATCAATTTTTCCCCATGTCTTAGAATTTGAACTTTTTCAAGGCAAGGTCTGCTGGACTATCCACTTAGATCCCTAGCACAAGGCTAGTATTTGCTAAACACTTGACACATATTTGTTGAATAACTGAATGGTGGCAAAACTGGTGACAGTGGGAGGCAGGGAGCCAGAGTTTAGTATCTGGGCACCTGAAACGTAAAGTGCTTAGTACAATTTTATGACTAGATTTTGTAAAACTGTCAATAATAGACTCACTATAATGACAAACTTTATTTGCACAGGAATTACCTAGAGAAAACACCCTTACCAGAATAGCAAAATTAAACAGTCTGTGAAATCTTAAACAAGAATATTTCCTGATTTTCCCATTGGTCCCTTAGAAGTTGCTTACCTTTTATAGGATAGTCAAGCAAATACATATTTTAGTTCTTTTTTTTTTTAAGAAAACATTTATTTATTTTATTTGAAAGTCAGAGAGAGTGACAGATTGTTCATGCACTGATTCACTCCCCAGATGGCCACAATGGCCAGCCATGGGTCAGGCCAAAGCCAGCAGACAGGAGCTACATCTGAGTCTCCCACGTGAGTGGCAGAGGTCACGGGACAGGAACAAGGACCACAGTGGATGAGGGTGTCACAGGTGGCAGTTTTACCTGCCGACCTACATTTGAGCTCTTGATGAATTCAACAAGCTGAGTCTCTGCCCTCTGGAAGAATAGTTTTATGAAGAAGACATACGGATATTAATAAGATTACAGCAAGCACATGACTGCCAGTGTGCAAAGCACTTGGAGAAGTAGGATGCACTCCTGGATAGGCTACTGGGGAGACAGTGCAGAGTGATCTGGCTGGGAGGCTCAGCACAGGTCTGGGATGCCAGTAAAAGCTCAAAAATCAGAAGACAGAAAGAACATAGAACAACACATATAAAAAAAGAGAGAAAGAAGAGCTATACAAAATACACATTTTACTGCATGCTATTTTTAAAAAATAATGTTTTATGTTTCTATTTTACTTTTTATTGAGGGGGAGCAGTCACCAAAATCTTTTATGTACTTAAGATTTATAAATTTCTTAGTCTAACTCTGCAAGGGGACATAACCTTCTCTGAAAGAGCAAACGTTTTTGCTTTTTAAATTTGTTTGACAGGCCGAGGGACATGTATATATATATATATGTATATGTATATATATATATATATATAGAGAGAGAGAGAGAGAATGAATCAGACAGAGAGAGCAACTGTTCTTTAGTGCATCCTCCCACTGTCTGCAAGAGCTGGGGCGGGATTAGTGAGCCAAAACTGGGAGCACAATCCAAGTCTCCCACCTGAGTAGCAGAAGTCCAACCATGTGTGCCATCACTGCTGCCTCCCGTGGTCTACACTGTTTCGGGGTCTAGCTTCTAGGCTTTGAATCCAGTTTCCTGAGACACCTTGGGGGGCAGTAGGTGATAGCTCAGGTACTTCTAGATTCCCGGCTTTGGCCTGGCCAAGTGCTGCACGTCGTGGGCCTTTGGGGAGTGAACAGGCAGATGGATGACCATTCTCTGTCATGTGTCTGTTTTCCTAACATTCAAATAAGTAAAAATACATTAACATTTCATACATGAACATAAGAGGGACTTGCAGAACATATCTATATTTAACATCCTTCTCACCTTTCAAGAAAGAGATTACTTTTACAGACTCTAATTCTCAGTCGTTTTGAGTTTCACTTCTGTGTAAGCATAAATAGCCAAATGAAAAAACACAGTTCATGTAACTTAGCCCACACTGACATCTGTTCGAGGAATTTCTAAGAAAAGATGCAAATATGTAATGTGATACTGTTGCTAATGAAATTCTTCACAAGATGATATAATACATAGTCTTGTTCAGTACTAGAAAAAGCTCAAAGTTTGGTCTAGAAATCCTGGGATTATCATTTTTCTTAGTTTGCATTTCTGTAAGACTTACGTATTTATTTACTTGAAATACAGAGTGACAAATACATACAGAAAGTATACGTGACGTGTGTGTATGTGTGAGAGAGATCTTCCTTCTGCTGTTTACTTCCCAATCAAAAGGCTGCAGTGGCTAGGGCTGACCCAGGCCAAAGCCAGGACCCCAAAACTCCATCTTAGCTTTCTACATGGGTGGCAAGGGTTCACGCAGTTGGGACATCTGCTGCTACCCCAGGTCCATCATCAGGGGAGCTGGATTGAGTGCAGAAGCTGGGACTCAACCCAGTGCTCTGATCAATGGAATGCTGGCACCACAAGCAGCAGCTTAACTCACTGATCCCTGGAATTACAGTGGAACAGTTTGCAACCTACTAGATTTATGACTTTTGAGGAAGTAAAAGTTGCCCTTTAAAGACTGAGATCAGGCAGTGTCTGGGGCCATTCTGAGAGCTCTGTTGCTGTAGAAACGTGTTGCAAAGCAAGAGATTGCCAAGTTTCTGTGTCCTCCAAGCGGAGAGGCCCTTGCAAGACCTGAGGGTCACTCAGCAGGAGTCCCAGGATCTCAGAATGGTGACCACCAGGCTCTTAACTGCCTGGTCTACCAGTCATCCGGTATGCTTTGCTCTGCATTACTCTTATGTTCCTAACTAGACAATTTTTCTTCTAACTGCTCATTTTTTGGTCCCGACTTCCTCACTCACTTTACACTTACTAAGTACTCTTTAGACACTGAATGAACTAGGAATCCAGATCTTAACAAGTTACCATCTGCACTTTTTATTGTTGGACTAAGATGTTCTGATCAAGAAAAGTAACACCCTCTCTTTTGCTGTTATATCTGAGAATCACTATTACACTAAACCAAGAGATATTCTCCACCCCCCGTGGGAATGAATATGCCTCACAAGTTTAACTAGCACAAACTTGTATCAACAGGTTCACTCATGAAAACAATCGCTCTTACCACAAAGTGGCTGTTATACAATTCCAGTAAACCTACTGTCTTCACCTTTAGAATAGCTTAAGTTTCGGTTCCATTGTCACCACTTTCTATTCCTAGAACATACAGTCACTTCTGGATCTTTGCCACTCTGGTACTTTTTTTTTAAGAATCTTTTTTTTTTTTTTATTGGAAAGGCATATCTAAAGAGGAGATACAGAGAGATCTTCCAACTGCTGGTTCACTCCCCAAGTGGCTGCAACAGCTGGACTGAGTTGGTTCGAAGCCAAGAGCCAGGAGCTTCTTCTGGGTCTCCCACACAGGGTCCAAAGGCATTGGGCTGTCCTTGATTGCTTTCCCAGGCCACAAGCAGGGAGCTGGATGGGAAGCAGAGCAACCAGGAGACAAACTGGTGTCTACATGGGATCTCGGTGGATGCAAGGCAAGGATTTAGGCACTAACTCATTTCTCCAGGCATGCCACTTCTTAACTCATATGTCACTGTAGCAACATTCCCTCCAGGACCTTCTTTCTCCCCAACCCTATCACAATGTCTGTGTATTATGAACCTGGTTTCATCCTGCCATTTCCTCGTTGAGAAAATTCCAGAAATTCCTAATTCCTGTAAATCCCCTATTTAGAAATGTTGCCCTTACTATATCTTCTCTTCCATCTCCAATTCCATCTGTCATTACTCTAAATCTGTTGGGCCTCAAACACCTATTTGCTCTTCCCATCAGAAAGTCTTTCCTTCCTCCCTTCCTCCTCCCCCATGAAGCTCAGCCTTCTAAAGCCTTTCCCAATTGCTATTGCCACAGAAGTTTTCTATAATGAGTGACTACTGGTGGTAGTTCAGGACTTAATCTTATACTCTACTGGATTGTACTGGGTGCGGTTTAAATTCTTTTTGTAGGCAGTTGTACAACTTTTTTTATGCTGAAAACATCGAAGACATAACAGGGAACGAACAAACTGATTTCACTTGACTGCTTTTCCCCTTCCTTTTTCCACCGGCTGCTCTATCTAACGTGTCTGTTGGTAAAGGGAGCTTTAATTCAGTGAAAGCACTGCACACAGTACTCATACATAACAGGAAGTATTTATGGAGCTGGTTTTGAACAAAGCCAGAAGACCTTCAAAGCTTTGTTCCAGTTCCTTTGATATTCTTTCTTATCTCATACATACACTTAGCCAGGTCAAGCTACTTCTTAAGGTGTTTTTGATTTCAGGGGTTCGGCAGTTAGTGACAAAGTATCTTCTAACCTGCCCAAGTTACCTGGCAAGGTGGAAAAACCCCTGTCGTTTCTCTGACAAACACCGGCCGGTCCAGACGGAACCAGGCTCAAAGGATTTGCAAGCCTTCTCGTCGCTCGTTAAAGAAATGAGCTGAGTTCAGCGCTGACACCACCTACGGCTTAGATAATGTAATTGGACCCAAACGGGGATTTCTGGGGCTTAACCTTCAGTCGCATACACTCTAGACGGTGCATCTGCGTGTTGGGGGACGCGTGGACCGAAAAGAGGGCGCGGAGCCAGCACCAGACCTGCAACAGGAGCTGCGGACTCCGTAGACAGGAGGACCCACAGACGCCACCAGAGTTCCCCTCACACGGCCGCAACGGAGGACCCACTCCTCTGCACTGTCCCGGCCCGCACGGCCGGCCCGGCATCAGGACCGCGGCGGACGGTCCCGGCCCAGCTCGGCCCGCGCCGCCCTCCCCCGGCTCCCGTTCGTCACGTCCGGGGACGGGCCGGGGCGCCGGGGGCGGGCCCGGGTGGGGCCGGGGCGCCGGGCAGGGCGGGGGTGCTCCTGGTGACAACGGTCAATAATGAAGGTGGCTGCGGCGGGGCGGCAGACTCAGCTGCTCCGGGTGGGGGCGGCGCCGGGACCGCGCCTGTAGGACCTCGGGGCCGGCGCAGCGGGATGGGGACCCGGCGCGGGGAGTGAGGCGGCGGCGGCGAGCGGCACGTCAGCAGGAGGGGCTCGCCGGCTTCCCCACCTCTGGCTCGTCCGTCTCCACCTGCAGCCCCGTGGCCCCCCGCGTCCCGAGGGACCCGGTCGGCGACGGCGGGGGCATGTGGCGCTGGGTCCGGCAGCAGCTGGTAAGTGCCTCCGCGCCCCTCCACCTCCGGCCGGGCGACCCTGCGCGGCTTCTCGGCTGCGGGTGGCTGGGAAAGGCCGGGGCGCGAGCGCTGGGTTAGGCCGCGGCCGAGGCGGGCGTGGGGCCCGGAGCCGGAGGAGCCCCCGCACAGCCTCCGAGCCCGGGCGGCGGCCACCAGCCTTGGGTAACCGCTTCCTGCCGCCGCTTCTCGGTTACTTCCTCCTTCTTCACCTCTTCACAGCAACTGGGCGGCTGCAGCCAGAAGCAGGGATTCCCGAGGGGTCGGGGAGCCCCTCGAGGAGGCTGGCTGAGGGGGAGTCGGCGAGAGAGGCTTATGTTTCTTACCTCAAGGCTTGGGACGCGCCTGGGTGAAGGGGACAGGAGGAGGGGGAGGAGGCTGGCTTCAGCCCCTCTTCACTGCCTTTTAAGTGTCACGATTCAGAGGGGTGGCCGTGATCGCCGAGCGGCGTGCCCTGTCTAGGCTGATAGCTCTCGGAGGAAGGGATTTTTTTTTTTTTTAAACCCAAGATCTGCATTGGGATGGGGGTAGGGATCTTGGAACTTCCCGTGGAATTTGGGAAGAGGTGTGAGCGATCGTGGGACTGCGGTTTGTTGGCCGCCCCGTCCGTCCTCAGCCCACTCCACCGCCGGGAAACTTTGGGAATGTGGAACTGCACATTGCAGCCGTTCCACTCGGGTTAGTTTGAGCGAGACAGGTTTGGAACCAGGGGTGAACTCTTCATTATTGCTGGAATACATGGAGGCAGAAAGAGGAATCTGAGGAAGGGATTAAGGTGACCACAAGTACTACTTTAACTCGGAGGGAAGAGGGAAGATCTCTCCCTGCCTCCCGGCAACTCCTGCCCAAGAAAACAGCGCTGAGGCAATGATGACAGTGAGCACAGAAATTGCTTCTGGCGCAAGAAGCCTAACTTGATCGGTGTGGTGAGGTCTAGCTGCTGTTTTAATTTCCGAATCGCATTAATTAAATGCTCCTGCTGCATCCAGTGTTTCGGCTTACTGCTTCTGGAGGCAGCCGGTCTTAATGAAGCAGAAATGTTTTGGTAATTGAAGCACCGCTTGTCCCTTGTTCTAGAAGTGCGTTGTTGTGTTGCAGAACTAGCTTTCTGTTACTTCATTTTGCAGTGGATATCATTCTTTTAAAAAAAAAAAAAACCTTGTAAAAAAAATTAGAGTAGTTGCCACTTCCTCATACACAAATGTTGGCTATTTTTAGCCAGTTGTAAATTCGGATATTCCTGAAAACAAAACTAATGATGTCATTATAATAGCATACTGTAATACTTTGGCTGTATTGCAGCAAGCAGTAGAAGTGTAATTTGACTCTACAAGTTAATTATTACACATCTAAACTCATGGTTTTGATTTGTTGGGCCTTCACATGTGGGAAGGCAGCTCACCTGCTGCTGTTTGTGTTGGTAGGAAGACCATTCTAAATTGGTTCTCTTAAAGCTTTTCCTAGTAGATTAAGACATTGCTTTTCAGTGTTAGGTAATTTTGGTAGCCTGAATAAAGTCCTGGTTGTATAACCACTCTCATTGCCAAGGCACAAAGTCTGGCAATGTTTTCAAAAATGGCTTCAAATAGAAGAAAGCTGAAAGGAAGAACCGGAAGTTGTGTGGCTAAGTAACAAGGCAGTTGTCTTACAGGGATGGTTAACAAGTTGAACAAGTGGTTGTGCATAAAAAATGCTATCTGACATTTACTTGCTCACCTCACTGGGTTCGCTTTTAAGTTATCAGATCTTCTAAGTATGTAATCAGAGTGGTAGGACTTTGTATCTCAGGTTAAGTTGTGTAGTCATTTAAATTATGTATTAAGGATAGTGGATACACAGAGTAATGACAATATATTTTACTATCTCAGTTATAAGCAGCCATTCTAGTTATTAAACCAATAGTTATTCAACTCAAAATCTAGTTTAAACAGTTACATTTGCTCAGTGGTTGTAATCACCATGTCTTTTGGTTTTGGGCTTATCTGAAAATTCCATTAAATGGGACAAATTTGGAAAATTAATCAACAAGTTATAAGGACAACTTGTTTGGAATTTTAAGCATCTATCCCTCATTATATGAATCTCGATTTTTCAACTACTTATATTGTCTCACCAAAAAAAAAAAGTTATGACAGAAATAACTCCTTTGCTCTGGTAATCTCTTTAAGAAGAAATGTTTGCTTTCTTATTGTGACAGAATATTTCCTCTGCTTTGCCAGATGACAAAAATCAGTTTGGTGTTATATTTATTTTGGTAAAGTGAGATGAAAAAGAAATGAAAGAGATCTTCCATCTGCCGGTTCACTCCCTCAGATAACTGCAACAGGTGGAACTAGGCTTGTCTGAATGCAGGAGCCAGGAGCTCCTTCCAGGTCTCCCACGTGGGTGAAAGTACCCAAAGATGTAGGCTAGCCTCTTCTGCTTTCCCGGGTGTGTTAGCAGGGAGCTGGTTAGGAAGGAGCAGCTGGGATGGGAACCAGGGCCGGTGGAGGTGGAGTACTGGTGTCAAAGAGGGAAGCTGCCTACTGGCCCGGGGCGTTAGCCCCTTCACCTGTGAACACGTTCAGTGCCCCCTACCCTGCATTACATTGCCGTCTTTTAGCACTTGAAATTGAGCTAAGATATTCTGAGGTGTAAACTAAAATTTGATTTAAAAATATTTAAAGTGTAATTTTTATGTTTATTTACATGCTGAAATTATATTTTGGTCATATTAGGTAAGCTTCGTTACACTTTTATGTGTTTATTTGAAGGTGGTTAGTAGAAAATTTTAATTTCCTTTATGATTTGCACCTATGGCTTATGTTATATTTCTGTTAGTGCTGATATAACATTACAAGTGAGCCTGTGTTTTGGTAATGCACATCATTCATCTGAGCCTCCATGTCTCATAAGATTACCTGGCAAATTTCTTAGTGCAAGAACTCTACCTTGTCTTGATAGCCTGTGCTCAAGACAACAGGTGACCCATTGCAGGTTCCCATCCACCAAATGTTGGTCGCATAAATGAATGTCAGAATTAATTCAGCATCAGTTGTAAATTGTCTATGTTCATTGCCTCTCTCTCTCTAAAGATTTATTTATTTTTATTGCAAAGTCATATATGCAGAGAGGAGGAGAGACAGAGAGGAAGATCTTCCGTCCATTGATTCACTCCCCAAGCGGCTGCAACAGCTGGAGCTGCGCCAATGTGAAGCCAGGAGCATGGAGCTTCATTCGTGTCTCCCACGCAGGTGCAGAGTCCCAAGGCTTTGGGCTGTCCTCTACTGCTTTCCCCGGGCCACAGCAGGGAGCTGGATGGGAAGTGGGGCTGCTGGGGCATGAACCAGCACCCATGTCGGATCCCAGCACATGTAAGGCGAGGACTTTAGTTGCTAGGCTATCATCGCTCCAGGCCCCATCGCCTTGCTCTTTAGCTCTTTAGGAAGAAATGGAAGAATTGCAAAAAGGGAGCAATGACGTATGACCTTTTTATTTTTGTGTGGCTAAGTTTAAACCTCAAAAGCTAATGTTTACCCCAGCTGTAGACAGCTTGCTAGGTTGCCTTGTACCTAGACAGGTGCTGCATTATTGGGAAAAAAGCAATCAATAGCTGGCAGGCATTCTGGAGTTGGTTAATGACAAATTTGTTTTCACTATACCAGTGTGCCAACTATGTAATGCATAGTTGCCTTATCTTTTTTTTTTTTTAAGATATATGGGGAAAATGAGGAATGCCAAGCTGGAACATGGCATCCCAGCCTCAGGCAATGGAGCTGCAGATTGCCTGCAGAGGGAGGTCTGAGGATATAGTGAAATGGGAGTAGCTGAGGGCATATTTAACAGGGCAGGAATGACTTCTGAGGTCTTCCACGGACTGGGCCTCTGCACTCCCAGGTATGCAAGGCAGCTGAGATCAGGTGGTTGGGGTTGGGGGTGGGGGTGGGGGGGTCGGGAGGGCGGTTGGAAACAGGGCATGTCTGGGTCAGGCCAAATTATTCACGTGGGAGACCTGAGCTGGAGTAAAGAGCATAGTCTGTGGCCCACTGGTGCACAAAAGCTGTGGCTGGGGCATGCCTGGCCTGTGGGTATTGGAGCAAGGAGTGTGCCAAGTCAGGCTGGGCTGCAGCACCCACCAGAACTTGAGAGAACTGGACCTGGAGCAGATTCTGGAAGGGACTTGTGGGCTCACCTCTGTGGGACTGCAGCACTGGCTGGTTTATGGGGAGAGCTGAGGGTGGTGAAAGGCTGAGACAGGTTGAACTATGGAATTCACCTGATAGTCATAGGGGCTGGGGACGGGAGGGAATTGAGCTGGGCTAAGCTGCAGCACCTGCTGGCACGTGCAAAGGCTAAGACTAAGAGCAGACCATGGTAAACACTTGTCAGCACATGTGAGGCCAGGGCTGCAAATGGGCCTGGTAGGGAAACTTGGGAGAATTCCCTTTGCAAACTAGCTCCCCTGGGGAGCACAATAGCCAGGGCTGGGGGCAGTTCAGATCAGGCAAGATTGCAGCACTCAGTATTGGTGTGGGCTGAGTGTGGGTGTGAGCTGGGCTGGGCTTGCCACAGCACTTGCTGGCAAGTGCAGGACTAGATACAAATCATGTCAAACTGCACTCTGCAGTATTCCCTGGCTGGCACTGGATCCAAATCTGATAGCAGGCCTGGTAGAGGAACTGTGACCACTCGCCTGCAGGGCTGCAGCTCCCACTGGTAAATATGAGAGCCAGGGCTGAGGGTGGGCCAGGTTGGTCAGGGAGCATCATTGTCGGCATATGTGGGCTGGGTCTGGGGTTGGGGTGGGTTGAACTGAGCTGCAACACCCATGGGTATGCATGAGAACCAGATGGGATGCAGGATGGACTGGCTAGGCCATCGCACATGCTGGCACACACAAAAACCAGGACTGGGAGCGGGCTTAGTAAAGATGACTGGGGATCAGCCCAACTGTGGCTCCCACTGGTGTGTGTGAGGACTGGGCCTGTGGCAGGCTGGGCTGC